GTTAGGTGGATGGAAGAACTTGCCCAATATGATATGACTGTAAAATATCGATCAGGTTCCAAACACTTAAATGCAGTCGCCCTGTCTAGGATACCTGTGTCAGGCCCTTGTCCTGATTTTGCCCTGAATGTACGTACTAGTAATTTGCCCTGTGGAGGTTGTAAATATTGTGTAAAAGCCCATGAAAATTGGTATGAATATCAAACTAATGTCGAGGAAGCTGCCCCCTTAATCCCACCCACAAATAAATAAAAACATCTTCCACCCTATTTCCGTATTCCCCGGGGAGGGTTAGCTATTCCTAGTGCAGAAATAGTTAGCAAACGTGTGTTGGCCGTACGTTCCCTGGCTCGAGCGATTCCGGGAGTAGGAGAATCATTGTGGGAGGTCATGGATAAATTAAATAGGGATAGGCTCATACCCACAGATAGTAAGGTGGATCCGGCTACTTTTGGGGCATTCCGGGAATTGGCAAGGCAGTCGGGTTGGGTACCTATTAAGGATTTCTCCCTCCATCCTCTAAGACACCCAGCCCTATTGACTCACTGGAGGGCTTTGGCTACCTTGGTGGGGTATCTTTCTCCGGGGGATCGGAAGATCTTCCGGGAGATGTTTTCTTAAGGGGTAAGGAAAAGCAAATGTTAGGACATGGGAGCGGGTCCCCGGGAGATCGGTGAGTGGAGCAAAAGAGGTTTCCAATAAGGTGGAAGTAAATAGAATGGTGGAATTTAAGAAATAGAATGGCAGGTAATTGATTATGGTCTTTATTGTCCTCTCACCCTGGGGGAGGGGGGAGCTAGTGTATCCCGGAGCCTTTTCCCCGGTCCCTGATTGCTCAATTTGAGTGGTTTGGGGGCCTGGGTAGAAGGCCCAGGTGTTGGCGGGCCTTTCCCCGTGCAAGAGAGAGAGGTCAGGGGCGGACAATGGAGAGAGGGGGGTCTCCTCTGCCAGCCGCTTCAGCTCCGGAAGCGGTGGGGGGGGGGGCTTCTCCCTTCTTGGAGGCCAGACCACTGTCACCCTCACCTGTCCCTGAGTCTACAGGTAACTCAGGGCAGGTGAGGGCCCGCAGAGGCTTTGGCCTCCTCCAGCTCGCCCCTGCCCCCTTGAGTCTGGAGGACGGTTTGGGGAGAGTAGGGGAGCAACTGTATCCAGGGGATTGCTGGGCAGTCCCCGGGGGCAGCCGGTGCCTCTGATGTCAATGTCGTTCCCTAGGAGAGAGTCCTCCAGCCAGAGGAGGACTCGAAGACGTCGGGAGCGTCAGAGGCGTCGGGTACAGATGGGGGTCGTCTCGGAGGGTGGCCCTTCCATTCGCCTCTCGCCACATCAGTGGCGGCTGGTAATGGATAGGATCACCCGCCGGGAGAGGCGTGTTTCAGCCTGCTGCTCCCACTGTTGTCCTTCCCACCATGCGCACTAAATCTTGGGGGATAATTTTTTTTGTCTTTAGTTCATTTTCCTTTAGTCCCTGTTTTTTTTGTTGCTTTCGTTTTATTTAGTTCAGGGAGGATGGTTTTTATGGGTTTTTTTTGTTTTTAGGGAAGGCCGCTCTAACTATCCTGTACTATATTCCTCTGTAACCTATCCTAAACTATGTGTTTCCTTTTCCCTTGTACTTTCCTGTTTCTATCTGTGAGCTTATCTATCTTCTATTTTCTGGTCTAGATTCGAACTTTTTGATACTCTTCTGTCCCCTTTATCCTTCTTATGGACCAAACCTATCCTAGGGATGGGGGGATGGGAGTTATTTTGGGGGGATATTTGAATATATGAGTTTTTTTCCCTAAGGGGGGGGGGGGTGTTGCAGGCGTGGGCTAGTTCCCCCTTGTGCCAAAATGGACTAGCCCGTCTGTGACGTGTATTCATTTTCTGCACGTGCGTGGTGGGTTTTATATAAAGGCCTGCGTTTGGTCCATATTTCCCCCTACTTTTGCTACTTCGAATTGGACTTCAAATTCTACTGTGACTTTGGAGGTGCATCAGTGTTAAGAGGAGTTATACCTTGCTTTAGGGTGCAAATTGGATATTTTGGATTGCTTATAGTAAGTAGAAAGCTTTAGTCATCTATTAATACTAGGCTGAAATATATGTAAGCTTTGATATGTATTTTATGTTGCATGTTGCTTAGTAGAGTAGTGGCTGTATGTAATCCTATTAATAACTAAATTGTCCGTCAGTCTGTCTGATAGCACCCCTCAACCCATTAAGCCTGGTTTAAGTGGGTGTATTTCAAGGGGGATTAGACTTGGGAAATACAGGAGAAAACCCCGATTTTACTATATAGTTAATACTATAGATTGTTGTTATTGACTTAACTGGTTTTCTTCATATTTTCTATCAGCTGTTATGATTGTCCTGATATGTCGTCTGACCCCTCTCACTCCTCACTTTGTTTTAGGTTTTATTATTTTAGGCAAAGATTGAAACACCTCTTCATTCAGTTTATTATGAGAACAATGTTTACCAATCTGTAGTAACTCTGATCTTCTGTAGGTGATCATGATGACTACTGATCAGGTTCAGTGAGTTCCTACTAACTATGTAGATATTTAGATAGAAAACAAAAACCCCAAAATAAACCACACTCTTAATTGCAAATATAATAATTTTCAAATAAAAACTAAAATATTTTACAATAAAAATGTCCAACAAGGTATTATGCTGACACAGTACAAAAATTACAAAGTAAAACTTCAACTGGAATTTAAAAAAGACTAACTTCAGAGAGTTCCTACTCACTATATAAATATTTAAATAAAACGCACACACTTAATTGCAAATATCCAAATAAAAACTGAAATAGCTTCCAATACAAAATGTCCACCAAGGTCCTTTGCTGCTACAGTCCAAAAATCACAAAGTAAAACTTTAACAGGAATTTGAGAAAGACTAAAATACACAGAGCACATTCATAGTGCTGCCTCTGTGAGGGCGCTACAACTTATATGCAAAATACTCAGAATGCGGAACAAAACATAGGGGAACCAAATTAGCTCAATGCTTCCACCGAATTTGAAAAAAAGATATGTTAAAAACTATAGCGGGGTAACTCTAAAACGAAAGTCGTGGAACGTCGATTTTGTATAGGGTATATCCGCTCGTGACCCCGATGTTTTCCTCAAAAATTGATCTATAGCGGTTATTGCCTTCACAAAGTTTTCAGCAAGGTTAGGGGTAGGTAACTCTAAAACAGAAAGTCGTGGAACGCGGATTGTGGATAGAGTATGTCCACTCTTTACCCCAATGTTTCCTTGTGTATCAATAGAGTTCGTCATATCATGACCCCCCCGCCCCCATGCTTTTTTTTTGCACTGCCCGACAAATCTTACAGCCCGAATGTTGGGAGCTGCGTACGCCTAAGCGGATGCGGATTATGGCGTGTTGTTATTAAATTGTTCAATTTACCAATTTCCAGGATTTCCAATAATTATAACCTATTTCATATTTACCACGAAGTTTATGTAAATATTAATTTACTGTGTATACGTAGATGAGCCTGACGAATTAGGATGGGGGAGGAGCAAACTCTCCTGTCATCAGACCCCTGGATCCTCTGATTTCCTCCCAGACCCATACGCGAAAGGGAATTATTGAAATTCCGTTTCCAAACAATTGTTGAAACAAATAAGGATTAATGCATGAAAACTGTCACATCCGTCAATATGGGTCGCTCAAGACCCAAGAGTTATCGGATTTCGGACATTTTATTTTGTCAACTAGAAGGTAAAAAAAAAACGAGTTAAGGCCCGGTCCCACTGCACTTACGGATGCAAAGAGGATGTAAAACGGGGAAAAAACGTGCCCTGCGTTTGAAAGCGCCATGCACCCGTTGTGTACTCATTGCATACGTGTTTCATACGCTCTATCCATCGAGCATCCGTTCACTTTGATTTCATCCGCGCAAAAAGTTTTGAGCTCCACAAAACTTTTATAACGGATGAAATTTCTGCCGTGTACGATGTAAATGCGCGACATATACGAGCACCAAACGTTCCATGCCCGTTATCATCCGTTAAACCTAAACTGTATCATCTCTGCATCCTCTGGGCATCCTCGCAACTCACATCCGCTCCAGCTGAAAACGGAAAGAGGGAGGAAAGATAAGGTACATTGAACGTCTATACATCGTTAGTAGCAAGGAAATAGAAAGGATGTAAGCGTATGCATCTGGTATATAACGTTTTCAAAACGGACAAAGCGTTTCTATCTGGGATGTATCTGGTATATTGAAGGATGTCGGAGCTGTCATCCACTTCCATCCGCTAGGCTTCCGATGAACATCCATTTAGCATCCCCGCTACATACTTCCCACGTTCGTCCTTTTCCGTTCTGTGTTCGCAAATTTTCGTCAATTTTGTCCATTTCTGGAGCGGATGAAAACGGATGGAACCACCCCCGAAAGTTTGCTCGTCCGCTGTGTCCTTTTTGCATACGTTGTGTGTCCATCAGCCACTGGGACCGGGCCTTTAAAAATTCTGCACATAATAATAATATAATATCTTTTTTTAGTGCTGTGCCCGAAAAATCTTACAGTGCGAATGTTTAGGGACAGGGTGCGCCAATGCCGACCATGAATTAAATGTTGTTATTAAATTGTTAAATTTACTAATTTGCCTGATTAACAAATGTTATGATCATCACTATAGACCTACTGCTGTGTTAGCCAATACAACGTGTATATATTTTTGCGTATATTTATTATAAGTGTACATTTTGTATTTGTATCATAATTATCAATAAGAAGATGAATTGTTTTGCTTTTTGACTTGTTTTGAAATAGTTACATTTTTGTCAATATGTGTTCTTAACATGAAACTTATCTAAATAAAATATTACTTATATTTAAATATCTCAATGTATGCGACAAGATGGCCGCTGTGCGGCAGTTTATATATTAAATAGGTCATGAGCCGGTTCGTTGTATATTGTTCGTTCTATTCACCTTTTCATATGACGATCGTTGATAAGTGAATTATATAATTGATCTTTTTATTTTATTCTAGGTTTCGATTGTTACACCTGTCCTTACAAAACCGAGCCTGAAAACTGCAGTTCATTTAACAATCCTATAGAAATGGAATCATTCAATTTCACCTGTAAAGGGGTCAAGCAAACCAAAGGTATACAGGACCCTCTCTTTTCTCAATATTCGTAAGCTAGAAATGAAATAAAATGGGACTTAACATTCAATGTTCTGCACACCGATTGGGATACCGATAATGGAACGCCATACAGTGTGCTATGAAGAAAATTGTGCCTGGGCAGCGGCACGACGGAAAATCAAAATGAACTTCCTCGGCCCACTCAGGGATCAAACACGGGGACTCCAGGTTAGCGAGCCGACACCTAACTGAGTCACCCCGTCCCCTTTTCCGAGAAAACTGTTTTATAACGGACGGTCGCGTGAAAAGGGCGCATGTCTTTACTATGCCCACATCACTAGGGGTTGGATGGCCGAATGGTTAGCAAGAGAGAGAGGGAGAGGGAGGGCGAGACAAACACTAGGTCATTTCGGGACTGACATATGGTTCAATTTTATTTCACTAATTCGCTTGCGCGTAGGGGTTTTAGCAGTTGGATGAAATCGGGGGACCCGGAGAAAACCCACGAGGTTGGACAGGCGACCCTACTCCTTGTCACGTACAACCTGGGAATCGAAACCACGCCAGTTTACTCAACGACAAATCTTATAATACAACACGCTCGCGTTAACCATCCGGCCATCCGAATGGTTATCACGAATCCGAGATCGACAGGTTAGCGAACCAGCTTATTACACTTTGAGCAACTGTGGCCCCAATTGCAGAATTGAAAGAAGTAAACAAATATATGGAATGATAGTAATTAATCACCGACCAGACACTCCACACAATGACCTTTCATCAGCATTATTTTATTTTTATTACAGGTGAAGAACTGTGTAAGAAATACCCTGATGCTGGGTATACCCTGACGTGTACTGAATCCGCAGGTGGTGTAACCAACTCAAAGGGATGTGGATATAGATGTAAAACTAATGGAGCCAGTGATGGACATGAATTAAATAAAGTTACGATGGGCATAATGCTATTACTTTCTGGTGTATATTTAAAATTAAATTGAAGATTACGTTATTACCCCCAGGGATATATTTAACATTACGATTAGCATAGTAATTATTATTTATCGTTCGATGATGAGAATTTTCTGCTTAGGCTAACGAGCAATACGCATTTTGATTGGTCACGACTTTGGAACATAACAACTTATCTTCTAATTGAGGTAGAATGTTTAAACTTGATGTAGATGATCGTCTTGACTGAGTTCAATGATTAACATATCGAGCTAAAGCTAAGCAAAGATAAGCAATTTCCTGCTTTTGGACAAGATAACTTTGATTGTATCTGATAGAGAGTGATGAAACTTAGTGTATAGTTGATAATCAGTTTGACTGCTTGATACTTTGGAAAAAAATAGATGTGCGATTAATTAAAATGTGTCATATATTTATTTGGGGATTTCGGCGGGGGACATCAGCCTTACTGTTGGCTTGTTATTTTAGGCAAAGATTGAAACACCTCTTCATTCAGTTTATTATGAGAACAATGTTTACCAATCTGTAGTAACTCTGATCTTCTGTAGGTGATCATGATGACTACTGATCAGGTTCAGTGAGTTCCTACTAACTATGTAGATATTTAGATAGAAAACAAAAACCCCAAAATAAACCACACTCTTAATTGCAAATATAATAATTTTCAAATAAAAACTAAAATATTTTACAATAAAAATGTCCAAAAAGGTATTATGCTGACACAGTACAAAAATTACAAAGTAAAACTTCAACTGGAATTTAAAAAAGACTAACTTCAGAGAGTTCCTACTCACTATATAAATATTTAAATAAAACGCACACACTTAATTGCAAATATCCAAATAAAAACTGAAATAGCTTCCAATACAAAATGTCCACCAAGGTCCTTTGCTGCTACAGTCCAAAAATCACAAAGTAAAACTTTAACAGGAATTTGAGAAAGACTAAAATACACAGAGCACATTCATAGTGCTGCCTCTGTGAGGGCGCTACAACTTATATGCAAAATACTCAGAATGCGGAACAAAACATAGGGGAACCAAATTAGCTCAATGCTTCCACCGAATTTGAAAAAAAGATATGTTAAAAACTATAGCGGGGTAACTCTAAAACGAAAGTCGTGGAACGTCGATTTTGTATAGGGTATATCCGCTCGTGACCCCGATGTTTTCCTCAAAAATTGATCTATAGCGGTTATTGCCTTCACAAAGTTTTCAGCAAGGTTAGGGGTAGGTAACTCTAAAACAGAAAGTCGTGGAACGCGGATTGTGGATAGGGTATGTCCACTCTTTACCCCAATGTTTCCTTGTGTATCAATAGAGTTCGTCATATCATGACCCCCCCCCCCCCCATGCTTTTTTTTTGCACTGCCCGACAAATCTTACAGCCCGAATGTTGGGAGCTGCGTACGCCTAAGTGGAGGCGGATTATGGCGTGTTGTTATTAAATTGTTCAATTTACCAATTTCCAGGATTTCCAATAATTATAACCTATTTCATATTTACCACGAAGTTTATGTAAATATTAATTTACTGTGTATACGTAGATGAGCCTGACGAATTAGGATGGGGGAGGAGCAAACTCTCCTGTCATCAGACCCCTGGATCCTCTGATTTCCTCCCAGACCCATACGCGAAAGGGAATTATTGAAATTCCGTTTCCAAACAATTGTTGAAACAAATAAGGATTAATGCATGAAAACTGTCACATCCGTCAATATGGGTGGCTCAAGACCCAAGAGTTATCGGATTTCGGACATTTTATTTTGTCAACTAGAAGGTAAAAAAAAACGAGTTAAGACCCGGTCCCACTGCACTTACGGATGCAAAGAGGATGTAAAACGGGGAAAAAACGTGCCCTGCGTTTGAAAGCGCCATGCATCCGTTGTGTACTCATTGCATACGTGTTTCATACGCTCTATCCATCGAGCATCCGTTCACTTTGATTTCATCCGCGCAAAAAGTTTTGAGCTCCACAAAACTTTTATAACGGATGAACTTTCTGCCGTGTACGATGTAAATGCGCGACATATACGAGCACCAAACGTTCCATGCCCGTTATCATCCGTTAAACCTAAACTGTATCATCTCTGCATCCTCTGGGCATCCTCGCAACTCACATCCGCTCCAGCTGAAAACGGAAAGAGGGAGGAAAGATAAGGTACATTGAACGTCTATACATCGTTAGTAGCAAGGAAATAGAAAGGATGTAAGCGTATGCATCTGGTATATAACGTTTTCAAAACTGACAAAGCGTTTCTATCTGGGATGTATCTGGTATATTGAAGGATGTCGGAGCTGTCATCCACTTCCATCCGCTAGGCTTCCGATGAACATCCATTTAGCATCCCCGCTACATACTTCCCACGTTTGTCCTTTTCCGTTCTGTGTTCGCAAATTTTCGTCAATTTTGTCCATTTCTGGAGCGGATGAAAACGGATGGAACCACCCCCGAAAGTTTGCTCGTCCGCTGTGTCCTTTTTGCATACGTTGTGTGTCCATCAGCCACTGGGACCGGGCCTTTAAAAATTCTGCACATAATAATAATATAATATCTTTTTTTAGTGCTGTGCCCGAAAAATCTTACAGTGCGAATGTTTAGGGACAGGGTGCGCCAATGCCGACCATGAATTATATGTTGTTATTAAATTGTTAAATTTACTAATTTGCCTGATTAACAAATGTTATGATCATCACTATAGACCTACTGCTGTGTTAGCCAATACAACGTGTATATATTTTTGCGTATATTTATTATAAGTGTACATTTTGTATTTGTATCATAATTATCAATAAGAAGATGAATTGTTTTGCTTTTTGACTTGTTTTGAAATAGTTACATTTTTGTCAATATGTGTTCTTAACATGAAACTTATCTAAATAAAATATTACTTATATTTAAATATCTCAATGTGTGCGACAAGATGGCCGCTGTGCGGCAGTTTATATATTAAATAGGTCATGAGCCGGTTCGTTGTATATTGTTCGTTCTATTCACCTTTTCATATGACGATCGTTGATAAGTGAATTATATAATTGATCTTTTTATTTTATTCTAGGTTTCGATTGTTACACCTGTCCTTACAAAACCGAGCCTGAAAACTGCAGTTCATTTAACAATCCTATAGAAATGGAATCATTCAATTTCACCTGTAAAGGGGTCAAGCAAACCAAAGGTATACAGGACCCTCTCTTTTCTCAATATTCGTAAGCTAGAAATGAAATAAAATGGGACTTAACATTCAATGTTCTGCACACCGATTGGGATACCGATAATGGAACGCCATACAGTGTGTTATGAAGAAAATTGTGCCTGGGCAGCGGCACGACGGAAAATCAAAATGAACTTCCTCGGCCCACTCAGGGATCAAACACGGGGACTCCAGGTTAGCGAGCCGACACCTAACTGAGTCACCCCGTCCCCTTTTCCGAGAAAACTGTTTTATAACGGACGGTCGCGTGAAAAGGGCGCATGTCTTTACTATGCCCACATCACTAGGGGTTGGATGGCCGAATGGTTAGCAAGAGAGAGAGAGAGAGAGGGAGGGCGAGACAAACACTAGGTCATTTCGGGACTGACATATGGTTCAATTTTATTTCAATAATTCGCTTGCGCGTAGGGGTTTTACCAGTTTACTCAACGACAAATCTTATGATACAACACGCTCGCGTTAACCATCCGGCCATCCGAATGGTTATCACGAATCCGAGATCGACAGGATAGCGAACCAGCTTATTACACTTTGAGCAACTGTGGCCCCAATTGCAGAATTGAAAGAAGTAAACAAATATATGGAATGATAGTAATTAATCACCGACCAGACACTCCACACAATGACCTTTCATCAGCATTATTTTATTTTTATTACAGGTGAAGAACTGTGTAAGAAATACCCTGATGGTGGGTATACCCTGACGTGTACTGAATCCGCAGGTGGTGTAACCACCAAAAAGGGATGTGGACATAGCTGTAAAACTAATGGAGCCAGTGATGGACATGATTTAAATAAAGTTACGATGGGCATAATGCTATTACTTTCTGGTGTATATTTAAAATTAAATTGAACATGGTGTTATTACCCCACGGTGTATATGTAGAATTAAATTGAACATAATGTTATTACCCCCAGGTGTATATTTAAAGTTAAATTGAACATAATAGTTTTATCAACAGTTATATATATATATAAAATTAAATTGAACATAATGCTATAACTCCCTGTGTATATTTAAAGTTAAATTGAACATTACGTTATTACCCCAAGGGATATATTTAACATTACGATTAGCATAGTAATTATTATTACTGTCTTTTGTATATTTAAAGTTAAATTGGATTTATTGTTAGTACTGTCGTGTTTATTTATAAAGATTTATTGATTACATGATTCACCGTTCACATATACATTATTATAAATGATTAACGATTACCGCTTAATAATATAAAACCATCTGTTCTATGTAGTGTTGTACACTTGCAATAGAGAGATAGAGATGGGATTTAACGTCCACTCGACACAAACTAGGTCATTTCGGGACTAACACACGGTTCAATTTTATTTCAATAATTCGCGTGCGCGTAGGGGTCTTTAGCAGTGGGAGGAAACCGGAGGACCCGGAGAAAACCCACGAGGTTGGACAGGCGACCCTACTCCTTGTCACGTACAACCGGGGATTCGAAACCACGCCAGTTGACTCAGTGACAGACCGCACAGCACGCACGTGCTAACCATTCGGCCATCCAACCCCCCACACATGGGTCGTGACATGGGTCGTGTACAAAGCAAGATATTGTCACTCTTTCTGGGACATGTGGTACCACGTATTGTCTATCTGTGTCTATATGTCCGATTTGTCCCGTATCGCACGTGTAAAACACCCATGTACCGTGACAGTTGACCGGGCAAAGTTTACATTTCGAACAAGAAAGAAATCAATTTTAGTCATTTAATAAACGGATTGCCTTAGGGTCGTGTACATAGCGCTACGTACACCTGCATTCAAACATGAAGGTGATTGAACATCATCTATATCAGATGGAAACGCACGGGTGGTAGGGTTTAGTAGCTCGCAGAAAAGTCACAAGAAACCGAATGTCTCTACTGCCAATCTCCAATCTTCTACGGTGCCGGGGGATCACGTGGCTAAGTGGGTAAGACGCTGGCTCGCTAGCCTTGAGGCCGGGTGTTCGATCCCTGCATTGGCCGAGAAAGTTCATCCAGATTTTCCGGCGTGGTTTCCCCTTGTCAGTGATGCAGGACGGAGGGCCTGACAAGGACAGTTGTCTAGTCGCTCGGGTGGGACGAAAAACCGAGGTCCCGTGTACACCTTGGCGTGCACGTAAAAGATCTCTTGACAGTTGGAATTCGATATAAGAGTAGATGTGATGCCATTTTATTATCTATGTATGTCCGTATGCACGGCTTGTCATGGAAGACACCTACATTTTAACCCGGGTATCATTTAATCTTGTGTATTTAGCAGTAATGTAATGTTAATACATCTATTCAATTTCAAATCTATGTTTGAAAATTCGTAAAAAATATTTAGATTTACCAAAAAAACATCTATTTTGTCCAGTGTATATAAACCTTTTCATTCAATATGGATAGTGGATGTCTAATTTATAAGCATTGAATATCCTGTTCAAAAAATAATTATTATACATCAACAATCAACTGGGTTGTTTATCAGGATGATATTGAGTGGAATTTGATGTATGTATAGCAAATATTTTGCTATTCAAAGATGAATTGGTCGACCCAGAAGAGAGAGAGAAGGAGAGAGGGGGCATGTCCCATTTGACACAAACTAGGTAATTTCGGACTAACATGTGGTTCAATTTGATTTCATTAATTCGCCTTAGCAGTGGGAGGAAAAGGTAGCACCCGGAGGAAATCCGCAAGGTTGGACAGACGGGCGACCCCATAAACCCATAGTTCGTGAATTACATGGTCAATATACCAACATCAAAATATCTCTAATATGAGCGCCGTGTATTACATGGTCACTTTACCAACATCAAAATATCTCTAATATGGGCGCCAATTTTGATAGAGCGGTAATGTTGGACTACCTGTTGGTCGGAACAAATTTTGATAAAGCACACACCTACATATGTGACTATGTGATTTTCCGGGCAAAATGAACCCCAATTTTTACTTTTTTCAGAGAAATTAAACGTTTGTCAAAGAGATAAATTAGGAAAATGTGGAAAAAAATGGTGGTAATAATGGCAATATCTCTTGTCATTCTGAATGGCATGGATTATGTATTGTGTTAATTATGGTGCATAAATTTCGATCTAGATCATTTTTAAATAAATATAAAAACAGAACTACCGACCTTTATAAGATGAGTATAGATCTTTAACCCTTCCTGAGCTAACCAATTTATACCCATACAGGGCTATGCAAATATTGAGTAAAAATCAAGCTTTAGACCCTGTTGTGAAAAACCATTCATACCTTGAATATGAATGCGACTACAACTGTAAAATTGCAAATATATATCCATTATATATGACTTGGGATTTTTGCATATTTTTAGTTTAGATTTTATGGTTACTATGGTTACCAGTGGGTTTCAAAATGGCTGCCATATTATTGTCATAAATGAAATATTGCATATTTTCTTGTCATTAAAAAATTCAAGATGGTCAGGAATAAAGCTATATGGATTATTACCATGATAGATATATCTTTTGTAAGAATAGTATAGGTTTTTGGGGAAAAGTCACTAAATTGTGATAATAATGGGTTTTTTCTAAAAATAATAAAATGTAAACGAGCAGTATTGACAATTTTGCGGTAGACAATACAAATATAAAATCATCAGTAACAAGTTTGTATTAACAATAAAATAAAAATAAATTAAATATTTGGACAATAACAATAATATATACCGAAATATTCACATTAGTGTTGCCATGGTAACCAATTTGACCATATCGTATACGTTTATATTGGCAGCGACCTACGTGCGCGACTGTATAAAAGCAGACGAATAATTTCCTCCAGAGAAGTCTTCCTTTTTTGTGTCTTTACTTTGTGACAAACCTCTGAATTTTCATCAAATGAAGAGTCCCCACTAAAAGTATAGTCACTATCCGAATCCAATATAGACGTGTCGTCATCGGCATCGGGACGCACGGCTAAATTCAGCCGAAGCCTTTTTGTTGTGAAGGACGCCATTCCTCGGCTGTTCTGACTATTGATGGTTGTTCCGTCAATAGAGGAAACCCCCTCGTAATAAAAACTCGTGTTATACACCATCTAAGGTTAAAACCATGCTTTTACAGGGGAGTAAACCAAATTAAATAAACTTCCCAACTATCGTCGGATGCCGCTCTGACAGACTATAAAATTATCCCGACGATTAGCTCAGGAAGGGTTAAATAAAGATTGATCTAGGGTAGACTCAGCCTTTTACATTTATGTTCTTGATATACAGCATGAAGTAAAAGGTGAGGGCGAAATATTAAGAAATATATTTACCGTGTACAAATTCCCCTGCCCTCGTCTACATTCATATTTCTATGTAAATACAGTAATATTATATCTATCTATCTATATATATATTTGTGACTGTCGTTTGTCTGTCTCTCTGTCTGTCTGTTCGGGGTTGGCGGCTAAACTAGGTCTTACCCGAGTCTGAAATTTGGGGTATAGTGGTAGCTCGGACCGGGGAGTAACATAGACCAGGAGGCGTTAGTCTACCACTTCCGGTTTCGGAGTTATGACCCCCGAGCGAAGCCGGTCTGTTCGGGGTTGGCGGCTACACTAGGTCTGCCCCGAGTCTGAAATTTGGGGCATAGGGGTAGCTCGGACCGGGGAGTAACATAGGCCAGGTGACGTTAGTCTACCACTTCCGGTTTCGGAGGTATGACCCCCGAGCGAAGCCGGTCTGTTCGGGTTGGCGGCTACACTAGGTCTGCCCCGAGTCTGAAATTTGGGGTTTAGGGGTAGCTCGGACCGGGGAGTAACATAGGCCAGGTGGCGTTAGTCTACCACTTCCGGTTTTGGAGTTATTTCAATTTGACGGGATTGTTTCTTTTCCAGTTATAGACCCAGGCAGATTATTATGCTCCATTGGGTCACAAGCCAGACCAAAGGCATGTATTCAACTGGATAATATTGTGTCTCCAAATCCAATAAAAAAATTCCTGAAAAAAATGATAATAACAATAGAAAATCTGATCATTTGATTTGCCAATTAGCTCCACTAACGCAATTTTGAATACAGTATAGCAAACAGTGTGTTAATATAATATTAGTTATATTTTATTGCTTTTGACTCTTACAACTTCATGCATTTATAATATTTATAATATTTGTTATAGTTCTGTGCATGCCCCATGTTTGTTTTTCTAGTAGGATTGCAGTCACTACTTTCTTTATATGTCGATTAATATCATGTTTGAAATAAGACATACTTTTATTCGATAGTGGGTTGGGAGATATAGCCGTATCGCAGTATCGGGGAAAAAATTATTCAGTTAAGAAAGACCATGAAACTTATTAATACCGATGTGACAAAATACCGAGGTCCCATGTATGCATTGGCGTGTACGTAAAAGATCCACTGGCTGTTGGAATTCGATATAAGAGTAGGCCATAGTGTGACACTATTCTCTAGGCCTGAAACACTGTTTATGTGGTTACTATGTTTATATATCAAATACAGCAAACTACAAAGGTTAAATACAGGGAACTACACTATATATGGTAGTCCTTTTCAGGTTATTAAAATATCCACGGTCTGAGTTTAATATCCCTTCTAACTCAGACCGTAACGGCCTAAAAGTGGCAAGAGCCACACACTTAATGCTAGTTCTACATGATGTTCTCGCTAGGATTTTGCTTCGCCCTAGCCTCTAAACCGAGGAGGCTACGACGTTCCCCCTGATATCCGAACGACGTCGTCTCCCAGCCTCACAACAATTTCCGGAGTGAAATTAAACTAAGATTATACGTGCAGGAGTCAGTATAGAGCCCCGGGAAATTGACCAGGTGCCTCCTTCATCGGATTGGTCAACTGCACAGATGCTACCGTGGATTCATCCTCGGTATCGCCAGTAGTTTCATTCCTTTCTAATCCACTAACCCCTGGGTTAATCTATGTGGGAGACACTTTATCAAATTATTCGCCCTTGATGATTGTGCTATTTTTATCGACCAATCCCATGCATCGTTCATTGAAAAGAAAGTTGGCAAAGGGAAGTAACTCTCATCGGACAGGGGGTCACGTGGCTAAGTCGCTGGCTCGCTAGCCTTAAAGTCGAACCCTGCATTCGCCGAGAAAGTTCGTCCAGATTTTCCGGCGTGGTTTCCCCTTGTCAATGATGTAGGACGGAGGGCCTGACAAGAGCAGCTGTCTAGTTGTTCGGATGGGACGACAAACCGAGGTCCCGTGTACAAATTGGCGTGCACGTAAAAGATCCCTTGGCAGTTGGATCGATATAAG